GGGGCCGGGGACTCGGCCGAGGCGGGCGGCGGGCGGCAGGCCTGGCGGGGCGAGTCGCGGGGCTCGCCGCAGCAGCTGGCGGAGCGGTACGCGGACCTGGCGGCCAGCCACAGCGAGGCGCTGCGGCAGCGGGAGGAGCGCGAGTGGCACAACGCGCGGCTGCGCCAGGAGAACGCGCGGCTGCGGCTGGAGAACCGCCGCCTGCGCCGCGAGAACCGCTGCCTCTTCCGACAGGCCCTGCTGGGGCCCGGCCCCGACAAGCCCCCCGCCGACCCGGGCGAGGAGGCTGAGGCCCTGCGCGCCCAGCTGGGGCGCCTGCAGGAGAAGCACCGCCGGGCCTTGCAGCACCTGCGGCGCTGCCGGGCCGCCGGCGGGCCCGAGGCCTCGGGAGCCGAGGACGGCGAGTTGGATGAGCTGCTGCTGGAGGAGGACGACGAGTCCCTGGATAAAAAGAGCCTGGTGCCGGCCGTGTAGGCGGCCCCGGTGGAGGGGGCGGTGTCGGCCGGCGCTGCGGGCGCTCCCCGTTGCCGCGGGGTAGGGGCGGGTCACCCCCTCTTCACTCCCGGCGCTGACCGCCTGCGGCATGGGGGGGCTCGCCTCAGCTCCCTCGGTCGAAACGGACCCTCCCACGGAAAAGGGTGGGGGAGGAGTTCGGGTTTTTTAATCCTTTTCCCTGATGTATACACGGGAAGCATTGGTCGTCATCGAGGAGAACCAGGTTCATGTGGGAAAACAGATGCTTGGAAGACGAGAGGAATCCTTCAAAGCAGCTGTTATGGAAAAAAGCACGACGTTGAACAGAAGAGTTGATCTCGTGTCATCCCACAGCATTGAACTGTGCTTCCTTTGGGGACCAGCTGTGGATCACCTTTTTTTCTCTTGAGTTAACATCTGTCATGTAGGTTTCAAGAGCCATGGAGACTGACTGGTTGGTAGTAGTCAGTGTAAGGAAGGGTGGAGCAAGCKTGAAAGCTTTAGTCAGTACTCCAGTAAAAGTTGGTGATCACTGGAACTATGAATTGCCTTGGACACTTAACTGCGGAACACTACTTGTATTTTTAATGATGGACGTTGTTCACCGTCACATGAATAMTGATTTGAATTTCGCATTTTCACACAAAACTGCAGCTAATAAAAAATTTATGATACACCAAATGATTGTCTTAAGTGTGAATTTATTTTGAAATTTTAGGTCAACTGCCTTTCAGGCCATTTGCAATGAACCTCAAAGGCCAAAGAAATTTTTTTTTTACTATACCTTAATTATAAACTGATTGGAAGCAAGTATTTCGTACCTCTATTTTGCTAGAAAATTTGCTAGTTGAAAGAAATGTTTTTAACGAACTGAGGCAGAAGTTGAGTTTTGTAATACCTCATTTTTAATTTTTTAATGCCATTTAAGGGATGTCACCTTCAGGTTTGAGATTGGTTTCTTAAAGCTTTAAAGGGCAAGGGCTGTTTCAGCTCAAGTTGAAACTAATGTGAAAAGGTGAAATTCCATCATTTTCTATAAGTATCTTTGAGAATATAACTATAATATAATAGATAGACGTGTTTCTTCACATGATGTTGATGCCTTAGGATTTTTAGTTTCTGTATTTTCATGCCTCTGTATTCTCTCTTCACTAAAAGCTACAATTCTCCCATCTTTAGATYGTTTTTTCCCAAAACAATCCCTCTCTGAGCCTGAATCCAAGGATACCTCRCTGCCTCAGAGCCCCAAAATGTGTAAACAACAGTGAGTTGCGGGGGGAAGCAAGTTTGGGGTGGTTGACAACATCACCTAAAACATCACTGGGGGGCTGAGGCCCAATGTGTTAATAGGACAGAACTTATAAAAGGTGAAGAATTCCTGACTCAAGGTCCATGTTGGGTGTGGCCTCAGGAGGAGGCTTTTGTCTGCCCTAATGTACCAGTAGGCCTGTTAGGCCTGTATTTAAGTTGTCTATTCTTGTTTTCTTGTTTGTCTGGACTCTTATTTCAGGTGAGCCTGATTTCCAAGGCATCAATGCCAGCATAACCGTTTAATCATAARATGGCTGTAGTGCTTGTTTAGTATGTGGATCTGCAGCCTCAAGTGCGTTCTCAAAGTGGAAAAACAATTTGGCAGAGTGCAGTCAGTATCTTAATGACAAAGTGTGGGTAGTGATGCCTGGTTGTGTTTGTTTTGTAAACTTAAGTATTCTCAAAAATACTTCCCAAATGCTCAAGAACCACAATACCTACAATAATATCAGGATTGTCTTGCTCTAACAGTTTCCAGTAAAGTTTGAATACCCAAGYGATGAAAAGAATCCATCAAAACAGGACAAGACTCTTCCTCCAATGCTACAAATGCATAACTGTCAGGCTTCTTTTTCAAGTCACAGCTACTGGCACACACAAAAGAGGATTCTGGACTTTTCTATTAGGAGATGCAGTTCTTTTTAACTAAACTTCTGTGACGCACTAAATGAAGTTTTTTTGCAAGAGTACTAGGTTCTGTGGAAGAATAATTCTATATTTATCTACATCTTGACAGATAAATTATAAAACAAAGCTGCAGATTTCAGAGGGAAAAAAGTGTTTCAGTAAGACTCAAATTAATGTAAAAAAACAGAGAAAATATTTAAGAGTATTTCCTCTAATTGCTGCTTCTGGATGGACTGCAGTAAGTAAGCCTTTGTTTCAGTGAAGCTGCAAAAGTTTCATTTAACCATTTAACCAGTTATCTGATATGGTTATTGAGTTTGTTTTTGAGAACAAAATACAAATTTAGGAAAGGCCTTTGGTGAATCATGCTAAGATTCAGGTAGTGGTTTGCAGGTGGTGGCTTTCCTTTGTGACAAACATGATCCTTGTTTACAGGAAGTTACATACACTGAGACAGTAAAGTAAATATTCTCTGGGATAAAATTTTTCGGGCATCACATCTGGCTTTGTCTATATGACTAGAACTAGCAGCTGGTAGCTTGGTATCACAGGTACATTCAGCCAAAACTCTATTAGCTAATGGTTGCTAGAAAGCAGAGTTTGGAATTGCCTGCTGGGAGAAGCACTGCAGCTGTGTGAAGACCTGATGCCTTAATCTACTTTTGCTTAAGGTCTGTTTTATTTTCTGTTCTCCTTTCTGTYCAATAAGCAGTCCAATCTTGAAGGTCCAGGCCTCACTTTTTACTCCCAAATTTTGTCTTTCATTCTCTTTACCATCTTCTGGACTAGGATAAGTATTTGTCCTCTTTTTTTTTTGTTTTAGTTAAGTAGTCTCTCCATGTTCCTGTGTCTTGTAGTRTTAAGGCTTTCTTCCTCTGGCCTGAGGGAATGCTGCTTCCCTGGATTTGGAAGACAGTGCATTAGAGAACAAAATTGGTACAATATACTGAAAAACCAGAACCCACAACTGTGCTGTCCTGTTGTCCATTTTTTTTATAATTTCAGTTCTTYGTTTCAAAATAATGTCAATTGTATACTGATCATTTTCAAACCTGCGAATTTCAAAATCACGTGTTTTTTCATGTTTTTGAATCTAGATTTTAAGTAACTATCTCTGCATATTTACTTGAAAAAAGGAAAACTAACTTTCATTTTGGTAACAACAAATTTCTGAATGCAGGTGSATTATTTTTGTGTTTAAAATGTTTTTGCATATTATGAACTTTTACTACATAGTATTTTGTTTTACACTGAATTAGAGTTGTAGTGATCTTTTTGTTGTAATTGGAGTGATCTTTTTATACAGGTAAATATTTTTATTAGAGAATAGATTGAATTAGGATTTGTGTTTKGGGTTTGGGTGTTTTGTTCAGTATTGCTTGTTTCTTTCCAYGCATAAAAACATAGAAATGTAACAATATATGAAATATATATTAGGCAATAATACCTTGCCATTCCTTTGCAGCGTTTAAAATATCAATACATATTCTCTTAGTTTTGACATATATAAATTCATAGAAGTAAACAGAAGCAAAATGTTCTAACTTTGTAACAATTGCTAACAATGAAGTGAAAGGCTACAAAAAAGATTATTTCTTAAGAAAATGTTCCATCTTAACTGCGGAATTTTCTGTACCCTTCTGTCCTGTTCATCATGTTAAGAAATTATGATGGAATGTATATTAAAAAGAAAGTTATATGTATGGAAGCTATATTAAAAATTCATTTAAATCTTCTGGGGCCATGTGTGAATTTGATGACAATTACTTTAAAACATGCATATGAACAGAATGGCTCCGTGTCAGTGCTATATTTCATATACATTCTATTGCTCTTTTGAGACCTAATTTAAGTTTCATTGAATATTGYGCTCTGAAGGAATCCTTTGTCCACTGTGAATGTGCTCGGGCCTTGCGGTGCTATAKCTGCCCACAGAGAATAATGAAATAAATTAAATGTCTTTGTATGATAAACTAACGCCATTCAGAATAGTTTAATTTGGCTACTTTCCTACCACGACAGTCATCTGTTACTCTTCCATCTATCTCACTGTGTTCAGTGTCCCCTTTTGTGTTCAGTAAAGATATTTGCAAGATGTATAGCAAACCCCTGTTCCAAAGGTGCAAGTTATTTAAAGTAATGGTTTAAAGCTGAATTTTTAGTGTTCACAAATCAGTAAGGTCTTTTGTGTATATTTTAAAGCGAGAAATGGTATCTGTGTTGTAATAATGGGAAGTTTAGGTGCAGATGCCCTTGAAGTACTGCTCTGTAAAATATCCAAATTGCATTTAGTGCCACATCCCTTCCGGAATAAAACCTGTACCATTCAAAGAATAATAGCAGCATCTGATTATAAAGCTCTTTTTAAAAAAAGCTTGCCACTAGTGTTGTTTCATGACTCTCTCAAGGCCAGTTGTTTGCCCTTTGTGCTGCCAAGAGTCTTTGTGCAGTCAGAATGTAGTTGTAGAAGAAAAGAAAATAAAAGGCATTACATTTAGAGGACATAAAGAGGCTGATTTAGATGTAGCTTTGTCTGAGGGAGTGTGGTATAAATCTGGGAAGATGGCAAATTGGTTGGATAATCCATAAAAAGCGAACATTTCAGAGACAGAATTACTGTGGAAAGATGTGACCATYAAACAACAGCTAATGGAATTAAATTCATATATGTTGATGTATTTTTAATGAATAAAAATAATGAATKTAAAGTTAGGATAAAGTAAAAGATTTGCACTGAGGAAAAATTCAACTGTGTCATGCACTGGCATATCTTTGAAGTGAGGGTAATCTTTGGAGGGCTGCTCTACAAACAATCCTTAACCCCTGCTGAGATTATTAGCAGMAGTGCTCATTAAGGTTAATTTATTTCCAGTGGAAATTTGTGAGGGCCAGAAGGTTGAGCATCTTCATTCTATAAATGCTGCAGAATTTTCGATAACCTCAGGTTCCTCCCAACGTTGTTTGCAATTTATAACCTAGATTAGTGCAACTCTTAACTGCCCTGTGCAATATTGGTTCATAATAGAGGAGTGAGCTATGATGAGCCAGCAGCATCCAGGTGTGCTGTGCTTTGGCAAGGCCATTTCCAAGTGCCTGACCCAGCCTGATCGTGATCAATGTGTGAGTGCTCAGGGTGTACCTTGAGATGAGCTGGTTGCAAAGTGATGACTGTGTACAGAAACTACATGGGCTACTTGAAAGAACTGTGTTTGTRCATGAATTGTAAATACTTCTCTGCATCGGGCTTTCTTCTGCCTTATAAAGTTTTTAATAGTTTTTCAGTTCCATGGTCAGAATCATGTTTTTGCRGGCATACGTTGTTTCATCATGTTGAAGATGCTCAAACCATTCTGTTTAGCTATAGAAAACTTCAATCCCAACTGAGGCTTTTATGACCTACGATTTTGAATTTGTTATTGCTTTTTCTTCAGAAGCTATGTTTTTTTGTTTTTTTTTTTTTTTTTTAATTCTCAAAAAACTTACCTCGCTTTTACACTTTGAAGGAGTTTTGCTGCACTGCGGTGGTGAGGAAGAAATATTTCAGGGTGGATACTGCAAAATCATTTAAAATCCATCAGTGTAGTTGAAATGTTTTTCAAAGACATTAAAAGTCCATAAGTAAGATACAAAAAAAGCAGAAGTTTTCAAAGAAATCCTGTGGAAGATTTTGGTTTTCTTTGGGTTTCAATTTTGTAGTGATGTAAAAACTATCACTTCAACAACAGWTACATATTATATTTCTCAGCATGGCAAACATGAGTGGCTGAATCCACTGTAGGGCTCAGGCACATAAAATCTAAAATTAGGCACTAGGAACACCACTGATACTCAGAAATTTTAAAATAAGCTTTTTGTTACCTAAAGCAGYCCCATAAGGCTCTCTTCATTTGTCAGTGAAAGGTTTTTCCTATTTTGCTTTTTAAGTCTCTGTTTATTGTGAAAGAAACTGCTGCAAAACCAGTGAAAGAGCCAAATTCGACCTCATGTCCTTGGGTTTTGAATTCCAGTGCTGAAAAGGGCACTAGAGATTGGAGAATTGTGCATGAAAAGCTGCTCATGTCCTGGATATGTGTAGATGTGCTTGGCTAGATTTTAATAGTCTTTGAATGGAGGACA